AATATTTTTGGATTCTTACCATGCTAATGCTACCATTACTCTCTGGCTCCTTAGGAGTAGAGGAGTCCAAATAACTGGCTCACTGCTGCCAACTACTGGCCAGAGGCTTAACTACAACATAAAAATGAACCGTTGGCGGGGAAGTTGACGTTTTAAACCTGAATTAAAAATCGATACAGGGCTTTTGAATATCGATACAGTATTGGTAAATGAAATATCGATATCTATCGGTGTATCAATATTTTCCTACAGCCCTAGTTAAGGGGGGGGGGGGACTGTGACAAAGCAAAGGTTCAGCGCAGTCTGCTGCTTCTTTACATTTGTTTTGTTTTTGTTTTGTTATTTTTTTATTTTTGTTGTTGTTTTTTTGAGACAACAGTTGTTGTCACTTGGAGCTGTATAAATGAATTGAACTGAACGGATGTAGGACCCATGCAATCAAGGTTCTGAAGGTTCTGATGGTCTGGTAGGTTAAAGTTCTGAGACTCTGTTTGTTTCTGTCTCCAGCTGTCGAGCCAGTAACAGGAAGAGTCTCATCGTGACGTCCAGCACCTCGCCGACCCTGCCCCGCCCCCACTCACCTTTACATGGACACACAGGTAACACACATGACCACATGAATGACAACATGTGTGACAGCAGGCAGGYTTCTAGACTAACTTTTTGCACCGGTTGCACCACTGCGCCTAACATTTTTCTTTAGGTGCAACATGTATGACAACGTGACAACATGTATGACATATATAACAATGTATGACATGAATGACAACATGTATGACATATCTGGCAACATGAATGACAACATGTATGACATATCTGGCAACATGTATGACAACATGACAACATGTATGACAACATGACAACATGTATGACATATATAACAACGTATGACATGTATAACATGTATGACATATGACATATATGACAGTATGTATGACATATATGACAACATGTATAACATATATGACAACATGTATGACATGTATGACAACATGTATGACATGAATGACAACATGTATGACATATCTGGCAACATGTATGACAACATGTATGACAACATGACAACATGTATGACATATATAACAACATATGACATGTATAACATGTATGACATATGACATATATGACAGTATGTATGACATATATGACAACATGTATGACATATATGACAACATGTATGACATATATGACAACATGTATGACATGTATGACAACATGTATGACATGTATGACAACATGTATGACAACGTGACAACATGTATGAACAACATGTATGAATGTATGACATGTATGACAACATATATGACATGTATGACAACATGTATGACATGTATGACAACATGTATGACAACATGTATGACATGTATGACAACAGGTATGACAACATGTATGACAACATGTATGACATGTATGACAACATGTATGACATGTATGACAACAGGTATGACAACATGTATGACAAAATGTATGACATGTATGACAACATGTATGACATGTATGACATCACTCGCAGATCACCTCCAGCTGATAGACGTGAAGTCAGGAGGAGTGAGGATGAGGAGGGACATGAGGAAGGACAGAAAGATTAAAAAGAGCCTGGAGCCTCAGAAACAGATTTAATTTCCTGTTCCTGGAAGCAGAACCACAGAAGCACAAACATTAATAAATGGTTCTGTTGGTACCGGTACCTCAGTGGGTCAGTACCAACAGCTGTCCTGACACTTAGTCAATTCAAGCTTCTTTTAATTTTAGTTTCATCAGAGTTTTGATGTAAAACAATGGTGTTTATCATCAGAAACAGGTAGAAACACACCTGTATCTGACTGTACATTTCTCTCACATGATGTTGAGGAGTGAGAAATATCAGTGATGACATCATCTGGTCTGTCTGTTAATCCTCCATCCTTTCAGCTGCTGCTGATGTGTTGCCTCTGTGTCCAAAACCCTCTTTGTGTGAAACTGTATTTACATGTGTTTAAATCTGAACATGTTTTTGTTTTTCAGGAACGAGCCCATTGGACAGCCCTCGCAACTTCTCCCCCAACGCCGCTGCACACTTCTCCTTTGTTCCAGCACGCAGGTGAGACACCTTTACCTGCAGAAAAACAAAGACAGCTGATCCAGCCTGACAGGAAGTGATGGAAACAAACTGCTGTTGTTCAGCTGATGAGCCGTCACTCAGACTGGGATTAATAAATGTCTTACCTGCTTCAGMTGTGACACACTTGAACACCTGACCCTGGTCTGTCTGCAGCACTTTAACAGAACCGTTTCAGCTTGAGCTGAAATCAAGTTTAGAAATAAAAACCCCCACACAGCTTGAACCAACATCCTGAGGCTGCCGAAACCAACTGAAACCAACTGAAACCAGCCGAAACCAACCGAAACCAACCAAAACCTGCCAAATCCAGCCAAAACCAACTGAAACCAGCCAAAACCACCCGAAAACAGCCGAAACCAACTGAAACCAGCTGAAACCAGCCAAAACCAAACGGAAACCAACCGAAAACAGCTGAAACCAGCCAAAACCTACTGAAACCAGCCAAAACCAAACCGAAAAACAGCCAAAACCAAACCAAAACCAGCTGAAACCAGCCGAAACCTAACTGAAACCAACTGAAGCCAGCCAAAACCAAACCGAAACCAGCTGAAACCAGCCAAAACCAACCGAAACCAGCCGAAACCAAACCGAAACCAGCCAAAACCAAACCGAAACCAGCTGAAACCAGCCGAAACCTAACTGAAACCAACTGAAATCAGCCGAAACCAACCGAAACCTGCCAAACCCAGGCGCAACCAGCCGAATCCAGCCGAAACCAGCTGAAAACAGCCGAAACCAACTGAAGCCAGCCAAAACCAAACTGAAACCAGCCAAAACCAACCGAAACCAGCTGAAACCAGCCGAAACCTAACTGAAACCAACTAAAGCCAGCCAAAACCAACCGAAACCAGCTGAAACCAAACCGAAACCAGCTGAAACCAAACCGAAAGCACCTGAAACCAGCCAAAACCTGCTCCAGCCGCAACCTGCCGAAACCAACTGAAACCGGCTGAAGCTAGCATTAACAATGATTTAAATTGGAAAATCCATCAGTGTCAGCTGCTCATCACTCAGACAACAGCACCACCATGTGGTCAGATCAGAAATGACACCCTGACACGTCTGTCATAGAATAGAATAGAATAGAATAGAATAGAATAGAATAGAATAGCCTTTATTGTCCTGCCGAGGGGAAATTCATGGACATTAAATAAGTGCAAATGTCTTTCCATACGTTTCATTATCAGCCTGTTGTGTAATGAACTGTTGATAAACTGTAGTTTTCAGTAAATGTGTCTGAAGGACACTGATTTGTTCAAACATCTGTTTTGTGTTTCTCACAGTCATGGACACAGAACGGACAGGTAAACTCTGACTCCTCCCCCCTTTTCCTCCCTCTCACCTTTGTCTGTTCCTGCATGGCTGAACGCTCTGATCTGAGCTGCTACTGCTGCAGCAGCAGCTGCTACTGCTACTGATCCAGCTGTAGATGAATGAAGTCCATCGTGCTCCATGTGGTCGTGTCTAAATGAAACATTTAGTAACTGTTAGCAGCAGCTGGTGCTGATGAGTCTGCTTGTGTCTTCAGGACTGATGGACGCCGCTGGTCTCTGGCCTCCCTGCCCTCCTCTGGTTATGGAACCAACACCCCCAGTTCCACCGTCTCTGTGAGTTTTACTGTTTTATCTTCAGTCAGACCTGCAGGGTCCTGCCTCTAGACCTGCAGGGTCCTGCCTCTAGACCTGCAGGGTCCTGCCTCTAGACCTGCAGGGTCCTGCCTCTAGACCTGCAGAGTCCTCCTCTCACAGTCCTCCTGTTCATCTCAGGACTGTTGTCAGGTCTCCTTGTAGACCTGGTCTCTGCAGACCTGGTCTCTGCAGACCTGGTCTCTGTAGACCCGGTCCTGTCTGGTTGTAATCCTGCTCCTCTGCTCCTCCTCTCACAGTCCTCCTGTTCATCTCAGGAGAAGCTGCACCAGCTGCCCTTCCAGCCGACAGCAGACGAGCTGCACTTCCTCACCAAACACTTCAGCTCTGAGAGCGTGACGGACGAGGAGGACCGCCGCTCCCCCGCCATGAGACCTCGCTCCCGCAGCCTCAGGTACCGCCCCCTGGCTCCGCCCCCTCACCTTTACCTTTACCAGTGACCATCTGAAATGTTTACATTCAGTTTTCACCTCACATCCAATAAACACCTTCACACCTCCCAAACCTGATGTGCTCAGGCTTTATTTCTCTTTGACTCCCATGATGCTGCCACTTCCTGCAGAGCTTTCACAATAAAAGACCTGAAAACCTCTAAATCTCCTGCAACCAAATGTAGTGTTTTGTGACCCTTAGTTGGCCCCCAGACCCCAGCTTGAAAAACAACAGAGAAAATAAAATCATAGAACGATCATCCTGTTTTTAAAATGTTTTATCAAAACTGTCAGAACAAGAAATGAGACATAAATAAAAACAACAGAGAAAATAAAGGTTTTGTGGTTTTCTTATGTCATGTATTAGTGTGTGTGTGTGTGTGTGTGTGTGTGTGTGTGTGTGTG